TTCTGTTAGCAAGCAAATGTTAACATTTAACGCAAACCACCACTGTGTTCACATCATGGTTGTACGCTGTTGGTGTTGTTTAAATATATATATATATATTGGACTAAGCCTTTTTGTAAGTTATAAGATAAGTGACAACATCAAGGTCAGTCACTTTTGTAAGATTTATTGAAAAGAGCTTTTGATTGCTTCCACTGCACCTGTCCATTTACTCTCTCTTGCTCCCTCCTACAGTGTGTGATCCTGGACAAGTTCATGCCTCTGCCTGATGAGGATGCTGTTACCCATCGGGCCTTGGACCTCTTGGAGGACAGCAAGTTCTGGGCAGGCCTTGTCTTTGTAAATATGCACTCTTGGACTACCAAGGTCCCGCCTCATGTTCAGTTCAAGATCCGTATGGATATTGATGTAGTGGAGCGCACAAACAAGGTCAAAGACAGGTTAGGAATCCAACTCATGTAGAAATTATGTATAATAAAAGCATAATAATGAAAAATTTGGAGGCTAAATACCCTTGTGTTTCTCAGGTACTGGGACCCGGGCCCCAGAGCTGATCCTATGGAAGACCTCCGCTATATCTGGGGTGGCTTTGCTTACCTTCAGGACATAATAGAGCATGGAATCATCAAGACTCAGACAGGAAAGGAGTGGCCACTGGGTGTTTACCTCCAGCAGATTCCCTACCCTTGTTATGTGGACGATTTGTGAGTGGAAACGATTATTGAATTCAAAGTTTAATCACCAGCCATGGCAGAATTTCTTTTAACTTTCTTTTAGTTTTGGATTTTCAAGGCACAGTCATTAATTAAAATTACTGTAAATACTTGTTTTGGTAGTTAACCTGAAAACACGTGAGAATCATTCTGAGTTTGTCCGTCTTCATTTGTCCTCTTTCCAGGTTCATGCTGACATTGAATCGCTGTTTCCCCATCTTCATGGTTCTGGCCTGGGTCTACTCTGTGTCCATGATAGTGAAGAGTATCGTTCTGGAGAAGGAACTACGCCTGAAGGAGAACCTGAAGGCCACCGGGGTCACCAACAGCGTCATTTGGTCCACTTGGTTCATTGACAGCTTCATCATGATGGGCACAAGCACCGCTCTCCTCACCACTATCATCATGGTGAGGAAAAATAATATCAAAATCTTACTCTTCAGCTCATATTTACTCATTACATGTAGGCTGGTGAAAAGCTTGAGCTCCCTTTATTACCTTCCAGCACATTTCTGATCATTACTTACATTTACTTTGTTGGCATTTTTACCGTTAAAATTTAGTACAACAGTTCATCTTTCAACACAGATCTGTCTGTGGCTGACTCTGATTGACTCAATACGTCCCCAGTTATTATATAAACATCAAGATGTCGCCTCATTTACTGTGAATCATTACACTGCCTTTTTCCTTGAAAGAATTCATTGATAATAGTGGCTCACTGAGTACATACTATCCCTACAAATCATTGATGACAGAACTGTGAATACCATGACATCATGGGAATTATGTCAACGGCTTTGCAGGAATGGGCAGGTCAATGATTAACAGGTGTACCCGAGGTACAAGTTGTCTCATGTTGCTGAGATGACACGTTGTGGTACCGATGGGATGTTGCGACATCTAGTGGAAGCTTTGTGCAAAACCAGATTTAACTACTAAATCGTATGAAAAGATAATTTTCATTTCATATCACTGTAGAGGTATTTGCAAGACAATTTTCATTACCTGCAACTCTGGATAAACACACATACTTTCTAAGGTTCATTAAATACATGCATACACTGTAGATTTTTCTTTCTTGCTTTTAAAAATGACATCATGTCCTTGACTCGAATCCATTTCAGCACAACATATAAAATGAGGCAGATACTAAATATAACAACATGACTTATGTTGCCAGACATTGCCAAGTCTTTGAAGCTCCTGAAAATCCAATTTAATAAATTATAAGGAAAACTTAGCCGTTTTCACCCATCCAAGCCAAATATGTAGGATATTTATATAAAGCATTGCGGTGCATATAAAACTCCCCTCTGTGTTTTTCTTTCCTGTCTCCAGGGAGGCCGAGTGTTGAACTACAGTAACCCCATCCTCCTCTTCCTCTTTCTGCTCACCTTCACCACGGCTACCATCATGCAATGCTTCCTCCTCAGCGTCTTCTTTAACCAGGCAAACCTCGCGGCAGCCTGCTGCGGCATCATTTACTTCACCCTTTACCTTCCGCACATCTTCTGCTTTGCCTGGCAAGACCGCATCACCAAAGATATGAAGCTCCTGGTGGTGGGTACCCCCCAACGGAAACCATACAGGATTTATCTCCTTAGAATCATTTGTACTTGAACTTGTACTTCAACATATGCTATCAGTTAGACATGAAGTTACAGAACTTTTCGATAATTAGAAACATGTGTGTGTGTCATGAGTAAACTCAGTAATTCTGATAGAAACTCTGCTGAAGAACATCCATGATTGTACCATTGCCTCCTCACTCAGAGCCTGCTGTCCCAAGTGGCGTTTGGCTTCGGGACAGAGTACCTGTCACGGTACGAGGAGCAGGGTCTGGGTCTGCAGTGGAACAACATCCAGACCAGCCCTCTGGAGGGGGACGAGTTCTCCTTCCTCACCTCCATCTGCATGATGGGCCTGGACACGGTGCTCTATGCGGTTCTGGCCTGGTACCTGGACAACGTCTTCCCTGGTCAGTGTGTTACAGAGAAAGGAAAGGTCAGATTACCATCTAAAATAAATAAATCATGTGCCTCTACATCAGATTTCATTTGTTTTCATCACAGGACAGTATGGAATCGGCCGTCCATTTTACTTCCCCTTCCTGCCCTGCTATTGGTTCAACAGCGTGGCTCCAGCTTCAGGTATTCATTTACATATTTCTTATTTGCGTTTTTTTGGCATTTTAGACTTTGTTTCACAGTGGATGGTAAAAGAGAAGGGATATGACATGCAAGTCAGCTCCTGGCACACTGCTTCCCTTCTCACTGCTTCATTAGAAAAGATTTATGACAAAACTGTTGATAAGTAACAGCAGACTGGACTGTTTTTCTTCCAGCAACATACTAATTTAAGCCCCATTTTCCAAAGGCAACTGCAAAACAGAGCTGGATAACAAAGGCTTCGATAACCTGGCAAACAAGGAGCAAGGAGAGCAGCAGAAAAAAGAGGAGGAGGAAAACCAGGATCAGGACAAACCCAAGACCGTGGAGAGCAACCCGTCATGCGAACACCATGATCAGCGCGAGCGGCTGGGGAAGGAGGACCAGTCTGAGCGGAACCAGGATCAAGACGGTACAATGGAGGCAGATTGAGTTTTGCTGTTTGCAACAAAAGGCTGATTGTCTTACAAAGAGACATGCAGTTTGTTTAACCTCCTGGGTTAGCTGTACCACAATATATAATAAGTATGATGGAGTTCTACAGCTGAGAGCGCGTTAAGATATCTGCAACTTTCTAAAGCCAAGGAACAAATTACAGCATGTGTTCAAGTACAGTCGTCCTCAGATTTATTCATACCCTCCCGTTAAAGAAGGAAAAAAAATCACGGAACAAAGTTGAAATGTACAAAAGTAATAATAAATAAAAACGTAGTGAAAATCATGACATTGCTTTTGAATTGTGGTTCAACAGAAATATATATAAAAAAACAAGCAAACAAGCATGATGGGAGCCATAAACTAATATTTAGTTGAACAACCCTTTGAGCCAATCACTGCCATCAGGTGTTTTCTGTAACTCTCAGTCAGACTTATTTTGATTTTGGCTCACTGCTCATCAGCAAAGTGCTCTAGTTTTGTTTTTGATTTATTTTATTTTTTAAATTATTCTTTTCAACCACAATTCAAAAGCAATGTCTTATTTCACTAAATTATAATTTAACAAATTTTTATTTATTATTACTTTGTTCAGTTTCTAATTATTTGAGTGACTATTATGAATTTTGCCTTTTCTTTAATGGAAGGGTGTGAATAAATTTGAGGACGACTGTACAGTTATTAGAGGTTTTTTCTTGTTGTCACTCTCCCCCAGTCAAGATTCACTGTGTGGGAATTCAGTGCCCTTGTGTGTGTTTGCACTTGCTGGCATATGTGAACACACACTGCTAGCATCTCGTGCTTCGTTAATAAGTGATGGAAGCCTTTCCTTTTCTTTCATCTGACCCCATATTTGTTGATCTTCTTTCATAGACATTTGAGGAGAGAAAATTACACTTTTCATGTGATTGGTTTGATCATCGTTCACTCAGAGATGTGTTTGTCTTTGTCGTGTACAGAGCAGCCGTTCTTCGAGGCCGAGCCCGCTGATCTGATGAAGGGTGTTTGCATCCAGGACCTGGTCAAAGTGTTCGGCAGCTGCATCACGCCGGCCGTGGATGGCCTCAGCATCAACTTCTACGAGAGTCAGATCACTGCCTTTCTGGGCCAAAATGGAGCTGGGAAGACTACCACTATGTACGTGACGAAGATGCTGCACATGCAAGCATACACATACCTATGCATTAAATGTCTAAAACATCTGTCTTTCTGTCTCCGTCTCCCCCAGGTCTATTTTGACTGGTATGTTCCCTCCCACCTCGGGGACAGCTACCATTTATGGCAAAGACATCCGCACAGACATGGACACCATCCGTCAGTCTCTGGGAATGTGCCCTCAGCACAACATCCTTTTTCAGTAGTATGTAACTCCCCACACATGTAGTCAAAACATACAGAAAAAAGGCTCCAAACATACAGAAATATGTAGCTTTTGGACACCAGAACTGAGTTTTCATCAAACTGTGTGATAAACAAACAGAAATAAACATGGCATTGTATTGCATGTGCAGTTTCATAGCTGTAACTTAACTGTTGTTTCTCCCGTTTGTTCTAAGTATGACTGTAGCGGAGCACATCCTCTTCTACTCATTGCTGAAAGGCCGGCCCATCGCAGAGGCTGAGGAGGAGGTGGAGAACATGCTGCAGGACCTGGGTCTTCCTCACAAGAGAGATGAACTGACCCAGAACCTCTCAGGTCTGTGTGAAAGCAGCTGGACAAATGTACAAATGTATTTATGCTCACTAATGTGAACAATATACCATCAACAACAACAACAAAAACAGTAACAGTGATACTGCAGTTCTGGCACCAGAAATACTAAATAACTAAAGTACAGTAATTATATTAATACATGTAATGTTTTGGCTTTTCAATGCTCAAGTAATTAAACTTACATGTGTAAAAATTAAGCAATAACTATAATGATAGGAATAATAATAATAATAATAATAATGATAGTAATAAGAAGAAGAATAAGAAAAAGAAGAAGAAGAATACATGTACATATATAAATATAGAAATTTAAATAAATAGCTATAATGATAAATTATATAAAATAAAAGACGTGGCAGATACAAATGCTTATCAGTAATATTCACTGAATAAAATACAATCATTTAACATTTTTGTTGTAAAGGGCTAATTAATCTTTTACTGTTTACCACTGATTGCATCTAGTATATGCACAAATATATTTAAAGTATTAAGCTTGAAATTAACAATTTTATCTATTAGTTAAAATGTTTGTGAAATTATAATAAATTATGTAAAAAAAAAAAAAGAGTTTCCTAAAAATATATATAAATGTTATTGTTATTTACGTTTCCAGGTTTTTAATGTTATTTAACATAAGATGCGTAAATTCAGTATCTTTTTTTTGTGTGTATATTTTAAAAATACCAATAAAGTTTTTGTACCATGTACATGTACAAACATGGTTGCCATGGTGATGGCTGCGCATAGACGCAAATCTTGCGGCCGGGAGACTTTGCTGGGCATCAGAACAGTGAACGGCGCTAAAATTTGCGGCGGCCGGTTGTGATTTGGACATGCTGCGCCAACACGAAGCCCGATAGGAGACTACGCAGGTGAAGGAAGCGCAAATGGTAGGAACGTAAACAAAGGAGGGGGAAGAGCGACNAAATCCCATCAGATGACAGATTCATTATCAAAGTAGCAGACTCTGAACCATCCAGGTGGTATTGTGTGTTGAGCTAAACATGTTCAATGTGGTTCTTTCAAGGAAGATCAGGAAAATGTTACCTGGATCCGTGGTGTTTTTGTTGGTTGCGATGTTCCATCTCTGCCATTCTGTTGAATATCATCAGGATAAATTCCATCAGATGACATATTCATAATCAAAGTAGCAGACTCTGAGCCATCCAGGTGGTATTGTGTGTTGAGCTAAACATGTTCAATGTATTCCTTCAAGTAAGATCAGGAAAATGTTACCTGCTTTCTTCGTCTTGTTGTTGGTTGAGATGTCCCATCTCTCCCATTCTGTTGAATATCATCAAGAGAAATCCCATCAGATCACAGATTCATTATCAAAGTAGCAGACTCTGAACCTTCCAGGTTTTACTGTTTGTTGAGCTAAACATGTTCAATGTGGTTCCTTCAAGTAAGATCATTAAAATGTTACCTCAATCCGTGGTCTTTGTGTTGGTTGCGATGTCTCATCTCTCGCATTCTGTTGAATATCATCA